AATCACTCCGGGAACTTTCCTTCGATACAGATAAGAATTAAGACCAATGTGCTCACTTCTTATCTGAACTGCAATACTGCTTTGGGCCCTACTTAGGTTTCGGTGGATGTTTGAGGGTGTGTTTCTATATGTAATCCTTTTTCTGCCAGTTGTCTCATCTGTAATAATATTTGCGGCTTTCCAATGTTCGGGGTCTGCCGAAGCTCGATGACCAGATGGTATCTCGTTTGCTGGACGTGTCCATGAGTTTTTCCACTCCTGGAACGCGGCCACCTTACCGGCTTCTTTTTGTCTCCCTTTCTCATTCTCCAGGCCACAAATTCTGGTCCATTCTTCAATGTCTTGCTTTCGATTCTTAGCGTGCCTGTTCTCTGTTCCCCTTGTAGTCTGCTTGACTTTGCTGCACGCAGATACTATCAATCTCCTGACAGGTAGTCCTTCTGATATTCCGACGTGTTGGACCCTCCTTTCTATTAATCTACTTCTCGCCTGTTCTAATTTAGCCTGGTTGTTGAAATATACAACCCACAATTTAATTCGTGGGCTTCTTGGTAGAGGGAAGCTTTGTCGCCGGATCAATTGATGTTGGTATACAGCAGAGCAAGTCCAGAATAAAGTTAGTTAATTAAGGAAATCTAGAGACGGATTGTATCCTACATCTTGCTATTTACATAAGGGATTTTCATTAAAGACGCTGATCATAACAGTCTCCGTTGCTTAGCAACCGTTTCCAATATCCACCCTTGGTAGTCTCTATAGCTGACTAGACCCTAGATTCCATCTCCACCGTACTGGCGCAGACAGTACACACACAAGGGAGTATTACCGTAACAAGCTTATGCAATAATGAAGGATAAAAGGATGTCAATTCGACTACTTTTCTAAACACTGGTATCAGACTCCTGAGGTTATAAGTTCCTAGAATGATACGGTGTTAAAATGTGGATATACTAAAATCGTAGGTCAATAGTGTCTCTGGATTTCTGCTATATCTTCTATATAGTGAAATCTTAAGACGGTGTATAACTCTCTTCTAAAATTACAGGATGTGTCTAGTATATACAGATTTGTAGCTTGGCGTGCATTATACATAAAGACTGGGGTACACGAGCTAAATTATAATACAATGTTTATGATTAGGGATCCTCACTCCCTTTAACCCCGATAGATGGTCCGTGCGAGATCTCTTATCAACAGTCGTAAACAACGCAAACACGGGATAAATGCAATCTCTGTTCGCCAAACACCAGTCAGTCGGGACTACTTATTATCGAGCCTAGTAGCATCGACAAAGTGTATCCCAACACAAAGATAATAGAAAATTCAACAAGCAGAACCTTCATTAATAATTGCCATTGACCATCACCTGACTTATCTCTGTACTCCATAATTTCAACACTGGTTCCACCTTTATTGCGTGACTCCATGCTGGTAGTAACAATAAATGTATGCAAGGGAGACTAAATTATTGTTGGCTTTACTTGTAGCAAGCATTTACAGCAAAGGAGTAAGTAAGTCTGCAGAGTTACCTAGAATCATAGCTTTAAATATCACCCATGGCTTCACTTCGCTGTTCGTGCCTTAATATCTATTCCACGAAGGGGGACTATTCTCAACACCTGTCAGCGGTGCTCCCCATGAACCTCCAGCTCTCACTATAGAGTCTGAAGGGTCGAAATTGCATAATACCGTCCTCACTTTGATGGGGATTCCCAATCGCTTCTGCGGTCTTTATCGTCACCAACCCGTCATCATGAAAGAAAAGCCATTCAATAAGTTTCCGGAGCATACCAAGCACCCGATACGGCGATAGTGGATTGCATCAAGTCGGCCTCGACTGCTACAAAGAGGGAAGATATAGATGAATATGCACACGTCGTATGGTCCCGGTGTCTAGGCCTCGCCTGGCTGGGGCTACAGGTTTTTTGAGACTTTTTCCGGCGCACGCAGTTTCCACTGCTACCATTTTCATATTTTTTTTTGGGTAGAAGGTTCCGTGGAAAAGGTGACCGAATTACACGGGTAAATACTGCACTGAATGGCTTTTCATCAAGGGCAATATGTCAATGATCTCTGAAGTAACAAAAGAGGCAAGGAGCACTCTACAAAGTGTGGCCTGGGCAAAGAGAATCTTAAGGCGTTAGATAGTCAGACTCAAGTAGTACAATAAACACATACAATCACACTGTAGTACTGGAGATAGATTCAATAAAGTATTTATTAAAAATAATCGCATATTTTTTTAATCTAATTTCATTTAACCTGATCAGGCACCCTATGGATCCATGGAGGTGATTATCTTCATTATGTACAAAGGAGGAAACCAATTTGGTGAAAACCTTCTGATCCTGACTGTATACATTACCATCAATCTATCTAGTTTACCTTCAGGAAGTGCAGTTTACTATGTTCAGCTAGTGTGGATTCCGTCCTCTCCCCTTCCAGATCGATTTATTATATCCGATACTGCTATCTCGACTTCCCCTGCAAGTCGAAACTATTTTATCCATCCTTTGCTTAGTATTTACTGTGTGATTCTAGTCACATCTTCTGGGCTGTTAATCATTGCTTCAAATGACCTGCCCTTAGCTTGTCGCAGAAATCGCCTCTTCCATTTGCCCACTGCGGACACGCCAACACCTTTGCTTGACGTTTTGTGACGGATATCCACACTGGCAGCTTGGCTTTTCAACTCCGGGTACTTTTCTTCTGCACAGGTAGGAATCGAGCCTGATTTGATCGCTTCTTAGCTGAATTGCCACACTGCTTTGAGCCATGGTTGGGTTACGGTGGATGTTCGGGGGTGTATCTTTGAAATTCATTTTGTGCTGCCTGTTTATTATTAATTCATTTTATTGTACTGTCTGAGTCAATGACTATATAGGAAATGTGGGTCCTCTCTGCCTACAGGCCAAGGATACCTATACCAGTAGTATATCCCCTCCTATGCCTCCCATACAGCTCCCCTCAAACAGTACCGCCCTTCACGAGTCTTCATTCGATCATACACTTGCGGGAGCCCTTTGCCCTTCATTATCTCCAGTCGATCGTATTGATAGCCATGTAGGGCTGTGCAGTACTCGCATAGATGTGCTGTATCCCTGGCACTTGGCAGAGATAAATTTAGAGTAAATACAATTATCATATCGAACACCCGGCCCTCACGCCAGGTGTTCCAATTTTCAAATATATCAAAAGCACTCCAGGGCTGGATGGTGCAGTGGTAAACCGTTCGGGCTGTTCTCCCAAGTAGAATCTGGCTAGCTTGAACACCATCCCCATTTGAGATAGGAGAAAGCTGGTTTGGACCCAGTAAAACCCACACATCACACTCTCTCGCGGTGATACTGTATCTGTGGGATAATGAAAGCATACTCGGATAACCGCAGGCTTTTCACGCTTTTCCCTGGGGTGGGTATGTACGGAAGAGGTTATACGCCTTTAGCCTTAACCTCGAGTCGTGTCTGCAAACGAAATCTGAGTGTGAGACTTCTCAACGTCAAATTGAGTCATCCTACCGAAAGTACATACCTTCCCATAAAACCTGCATGCGCTTCGAGGCGCCAGATCAGGAAAATTTAATCTTTTTTTTATTTCTATCAAAGGTACCCTTCCTCCAATTATTGGGAATTAAAATGGTTGAATTTATCGAAATTTGGATGTATCTTTCATTTAGAAGCTAGAAGTCCTCTATAGTTGTAGACTCAGATAGGACTATAATAAAAATCTACAAATCTACCCTTCCTCTGGACCTTTCGTGAACAACAGCGCAGGGAGAGCGATAATATATATTTACATGGCGGAGGGGAGAAATGATTTAACACTGGTACAGATAGAGCTACAAAATAGTGCTTACGTTATTACCATGACTTCCAATACAACAGCACCTGACCCAGACACATAACTTGAAGTACAGATTTCCAAATTTTTAGTGATTCTATGGATAGTTTATAGAATAGAGAGAGAGATTTATGTTTATAGTACTACTTGAGTCATAGACTTTCTAGCACATTGGGCTCCTCTCTGACCCAGGCCACACCTTGTACAGTGCTCCTTGCCTCTTTTGTTACTTGTAAGATCATTGACATATTGCCCGTGAGGAATAGCCATTCAGCTCAATATTTACCCGTGGAATTCGGCCACCTTTTCCACGGAACCTTCTACCTAAAAAAAATATGAAAATGGTAGCAGTGGAAACTGCGTGCGCCGGAAAAGGTCTCAAAAAACCTGCAGCCCCAGCCAGGCGAGGCCTAGACACCGGGACCATACGACGTGTGCATATTCATCTATATCTTCCTTCTTTGTATCATCAGAGGCCGACTTGACCCAGTCCACCATCTCTGAATCGGGTACTGGATACGCTTCAGAAACTCTTCGGATGGCTTTTCCTCCATGACCAAGGGTTGGTGATGAGTAGGGCTCCGACCCTACCATCTGATCTGATCGTGGTTAGCTTCCAAATAACGGTGATAGGGGTATATGTTGACAGATGAAGACGATACAGACCGCGGAAGCGATTGGGAATCCTCGTCGAAGTGAGGACGGTAATATGCAATCTCTGCATTGCAGACTCTACAGTGAGAGCTGGAGATTCGTGGGGGACACCACTAACAGGTATTGATAAAATTCCTCTGCATCACTTGGGGTTTTCGGTTGGAAAAATAGACAATCAACTTACAGCAGACTAGATGACTTAACAGGCATTCTGTGATACTAATTACAGGCGTGCTTTTATTCTACAGTCTACCGTAAGACAAGGAAGCACAACATGATGTAATGGCAAAATGAATTTAAGGAGTTAAATATAAATAAATGTATATAAATTTAAATGAAAGATAATTAGATAGAATATTGATTCGATTATATACATGTAAATAATGTATCAGCTAGAGTACAATCCATCCTTTAATTAGCTAGTACGGCTGCACAAACTACTTCGCCCGAACATCGAAAAGAAGGCTGGACCTTATCCACTTAAACCCATTTTTTTCGTGTTTTTATCAGGGTGAAGAGTAAATAAAGGTTGGAAGTTGTCCATCACAACCAATTATTCCCTCCTTGAAAAGACTCCGAATATCACCCCCAGCGGCACGAACTGCCCTCAGAGCCGCTTGTGATAGTCTAACCCTCTTCTCAAGTGCTTCTTTCTCACGCCGTGCTTTAGTCTTATTGCTACCCGATGGTGCAACTCCTGTCAATAATTGAAGAGAGTCATTAGGCGTAAAGTTCACAAAATCTAATGGTCCTCTGGTCTTATTACGACTAGGCAATCGAGTTTTATGGTTTTTGAAAGATGGTTGCTTTCGAACCTGTCTTTTTGGACTTGCTACGAGGCTGTTTTCTTCGTCATCTGACTGAAAACCATTAATATAAGATTTATGACTACAGTAAGAGAGGTGTGTTGGATGACTATTACGTGCGAGGATTGGACTTTGTTTTTGACTGTAATCATTTGCAGTTGAATAAGACGTCTCATTGATCACTTGGCTCTCCGATTTAAATTCAATACTTTCTTTTTCTCCAACTGGAGTATTATTATTCCGGCTAGATGAATTATAAAATTGTTGTACCTCGGGGAGGGTTCTAGAAAGTTGGGGAGACTTGGTTGTGGTAATCTGAGAATTTGAAGCTAATTGCGTTTCTGGTGTCCAAGGTATGTTTGAGGTGCTCCTAATTTTGTTATTCAGTGGCAAGTCAGAAAATTCGTCACTGATATCCTGAGAGCACTTCAATAAATTTACAGTGTTATTTGAAATTTCCGTCTGGTTTGAGGATTGCTGCCAATTTTGTCCATAGATTAATGACTGAATACCTGTTTGTGATATTGTCTGAGAAGAATTAGGAGCCAATGACTGTTTTCGTAATGGGAAGTTTTCAGGGTCTTCGGGAGGGAGATGTTCATTCTCAAGTCCATCTAACTGTACATTTGATACCCTTAATGACAGTGGTGAATGGAGAAAATGATCAACTGAGGATAATAAAGGAAGGAATGCATCGGAATTTACAGCGGAGACTTCTTCCTCATCTGTCCTGAGATTTTGATTTTGAGGGAAGATGCCTACCATTCGGGAATCTACTAAGCTAGATGGTGAGGTAGATTCTATGATGTAGGAACTTCGAATACTTTCGATAGATGGTGTCCAATGTTTCTTTACTGATTTCGATGAAAGTCCATCGTTATATTGCTTCCAGATAGACTTCTCTACTACAGGTAATTCAGGTGAAATTGAAGGCAAAGCCTGATTATATTGAGAGTTATTGATTGAATTGACTAGGCTGATACTCGATAGTGGAAAGTGATCATCCTGACACGTTGCTTTAGGACTGAAACTTAGCTGGTCTGTATATTTACTGGCCGATAAGGGTAATGCGGTTTCGTTTTCAAAGTTTTCCCGCAAAAATTCTTGCCAAGGTTCTTGCTGATAGTCTGAAAGGTCATATCTATGATTTTCAAACGGATAGATATTTATTCTATCAGTAATGTCTGAATTTTCTCCAATGGAACAATTTTTAAAAGATGAATGTGTGTTATAACCTAAGGACTGAAGATAGGCAGATCCAATACCATCAAATTCTTCTCTAGATGTCTCTACTCGCCGAGTTTTATCAATATTCGTAGTATTAAACATTATTAATTGTCGTAATTCTGATCTAAAATAGATGATAATTATTTTAAATTTCATTAATGATTGAAATGATTTTAGTTGGAAAGCATGTGAGAGCGGCGGTGTGTAAACAGTTTTAACTTAGTCTTGAGGAGGGACTGAACTAGGTTTAATAGACGTTTGGGCGTTTATCATTGTCAATTGATGGTAACTAATCAGTCATACATCTTGAAATGTACCAATGAAGAGATCTTTAAGACTACGAAGAATGCAGTATGATGAACTCTTTCGTTCTAGTGTTTCATAACGAATGTCAACAAAGATATTCCTTGTAGAGTTATAGAATTTCGTCACACGCACGTGGTAATACTTGATAAAAATATTGATGAGCTTGCTAGGAGTAGAAATATTGTCGGGGTGACAGGAATGCTTCTATCCTTAAATGGTTGTGGGTAATTATTACTGCCAAATAAAATGCGCTTAAGCAAATTAAAAAATGATCATTGAGTTATTCTTTCAGAAGCTACTGAACTAATTAGTCAGAAGCAAACAATGACGTTGGAATGAGTATGCCATATTTACTTTCTGAAAACTAAGTCTGATGAGGCGTTTTTGGAATATTGAAATCTCACCATACCTCTCTGTAGGCTAAAGCCGCTTTCGGGAATCTGAGGAATGGGGAATGCAAATCCTCCCTTAATCCCAATATAGATTTCATTCGTTTGTGAACAAATAATGCGAATGGAAATGTCAGGAATAAATTAGGGGTAGATCAAGGATCACTAACAAGAACATTCTGGCACAATTTTTTCAATCTAAGTCAAGGAAATGTTATGAAATCAATAGACAATTAGGTGGGTTTGTAATGTAGCATATGATAATATCCAATATGGAAACGTTCTTGACGATTATGATCTCAACGTTAATTAATATAAATCCAAAAAATTACCTGGTATTGATCAAATGCAAATGACAGTGAAAAGATACCCATACACAAATATATAACAAAGCTGAGAGTTTTAGCCGTTAAGGACTTGGAATGTCTCAACCTCGTTCAACCTTGAATACAGGGGGCATGAAGGCCATGCCAGGAAGGATGTTAGCAGCTAAACACGTGATAATAGGATGAATTTAATTACCTCCACCAGTATTTGTCTCACAAGTGTTACTATTTTCTTGAGTTCCACCAGCTGATCTAGATCGCACGTGAGTTCGAAGAAGGGCGAGTATTTCGCTATCCCTCCACCTTGCCGGAATTGGTCGATATTCCGGTTTGAATGTACCCACAGTCTGAGGCCACTCTCCACTACGTGGCTCTCCATTTCGCCATGCATCTGTGTTCGATTCCAGTTGTGACTGCTTATCTTCTGATATTCTATTTGTAGCTTCTTGAACTTTATCCTGACTTGTAGAACTAGATAGGATACCTTCATTCTCAGATTTAGTTGCCTCCTGAGGTTCAAAAGGGGGTTCTTGAGTGGCCCAGTAATAAATATCCCAGTCATTTTCATCGAGAAATAAATCTAGTTGTACGAGTTGTTCTTTCGTCATATGGCGTAATTGCGCTTCAGCAAATGTGGACATCAAGAGATCACTCTCAAGTGTACCTCTTTTGCGACACTGATCTTCATTTTTGAATAGTTAGCCAGTTTTTCACCATAAATTTGGCTAAATAAACGAACATTGTAATCGAGCACGTATGGTATTTAAATCTTCGCCATCTCTGCGTAAAGGCTCAATTTTAAATTCGGCACCCGTAATCTCACCTACACCGAGGTCCTGGTGTGGGATGGTCGTTCTTGAGCTTGTGCTCGCCGTTCGAGCATAGGTAAATGACAATGATCGGGCAGTAATCAATGAAGGTTGGACCGAAAGGAAGAAACGGCGCATTGATGCCATTTAGATAAAATTAAAGAATAGTTTATTTCTGATTCAATTATCGAGGCGGGATGGAGAATCCTGAATTGAATAGATGTGTTTCTTGAATTAATCGATGACGCACATGACTGCAAATGCCGATGTAAGAGGGAGGGGTCCGGGCATGGGACACACACGCACCCGATCGATCCAAACAACTTAATCAACATTGAAGACAAGAAGGATGAAGGTTAAGCTCCTATCTGTGGTATCCACTACGTACTTGGGCGTGAATTATTCCTCAGTGCCGAAATATAGTCACGACAAAATGTAAACTTGAGAGTTTCCGTCGAGATATCTGTCAGGAGGAGTAGTGCAGGGAAATTTTTGGTCGAAACCCCGACCAGCAGAGATTTCATGACTGTGCAGTCCAACGAAATTAAACATCTACATCCAAAATCCGAGGAGGACAAGACTGAACACCTGTACGCGGTGTCCTCTACGAACCTAGGAGTGAAATATTCTCCCAGTGCCAAGTTCAGTCAAATTTCGCAATACCAAACAAGTTGGCCCACGAGGCAATGTTTCAAATTACTCCACCACGTCAAATTTTCACTCCCAACGAGATCGATTCCTACCTAAGCCTCATCAAGTCTTCAAGTACGACGTAGTACATCCTTATTCCAATGATCACACTTCTCGTCGACTTTCTCTGGCCTCAGCTGGTCACCAAATACACGCCGACGCCGATATTTATACCCGACGGAGGACACAAAGCGTGGCGCATAAATCTGGGAGATAGCTCTTTAGGACTGGCGTAAGAGGATTAAGGACAAGTTAACAAGATGATGCGACGGATGGATACAGTCTCGACAGGCGTGGAATTTCCAATTTTGGCAAGGAGTTTTTACAAATTGAGCTTCGTGCGTGCTAAATCTTTGGTTGCGAGAGTGCAGGCGACACTATAAACACTACCATGGTTGGATGGTGCGGTGGTACATCGTCTTGGCCAGTCTGCCAAGTGGAGTCCGGATAGCTTGGACACATATCCCACTCGAGACAGTAGATCGCTGGTTCAAATCCGGCGAAACACAACCACATTTCTCGCGGCGCTGGTATGCATAGATGACGAAGGAATGCTTGGATAACCAAAGGTTTTGAAATTCCCTTTGGTGGGTACTCACGGAGGAGGGTCGACTGTTGGTGTAAGCAGGTATACCTCATAGTAGTATTTGCGAATAAACCCTAGAGTATGAGTATCTCTAACGTCAAAAGAGCCATCCAATATTTATACATAGCACCGGTCATGTGTCATAGCTAGATAGCTGAATACACATTAAATGATTTAAAAAAACCCCCAAATCCGAACCACACACTGGATCAAACCTGTCTGATAATAATCTTAAACCGAGTGCGACTCCTTAATATCTCAATTGTTGATTGAATATTTATTCCAGACAAACTTAACTCGCAACTGTTTCCAAATTCATCTTAACACCTACATGAGAATTTTAAAATCAAGAAGTCATGACCAAACTTTAAGACGTAGGAAAAAATCTATCTCTTCGCGGATGTCGCGCACTGTGAGCGTACTGTCGAAGCAACATCAATAAATGCGACTTTACCCCGGCCGAGAGGACAAACAGCTCAACCCATGACGAATCGCCAATGATGAAATAGGTATAAAACTTCGGCAGTACATCAACCAGAGCGATAGACTAGAGTGGAAGTATCTGTGCCTCGGTCTGTAGTTCTTCGATGTATTTTCGACCTCCATAGCAAGGGGCAAGCTAGCAACGGTGGAAGGCTAGAGGGATGGAAATTCTACAGTTTCTAAGATTTACATAAAAACTGAACGATTACGGTGGAGCTAAATTGAATGATATCTCGGCGAGTGACTTGATGAGGCACACAATGAAGAAAATTACTACTTGATAGGACGAGAAGATGCGGGTATGAGGCATAAATGTGACTGAGCATTAAAAGATAGAAAATTATAGCTTTGGGAGGTGTCAAGGGCTCGCGCCCTTGATGGCCGAGTCTGAAGAATCTGCACTCTGGCGTGTTAAAATTGAGATCTCTAGAGGGTGGTGATAGACACGGTTCAACACAAGTGGAAGGTCTGAGGCGGTCCGGTGATTCCGGCGGAAGAGATGCTTATAATTGCTGGTAGTTGTCCTGGTCCAGCCTTGCCCTTTACGTGCTGAGGCTCCTGTTGGAGTGCGGAGGCTACCATTTTCCTAGCACATAATTTAAATACATTCAAAAGGCGCTTATGTGGAAAGAAGTGTTCCTCAAGGATCTTTGAACTTTTGTATTGCTTGTCAGTTTTGGGCGAAAGAATTATTACTTCGCGTACTTCAGCTTGCTACTAGTTTTGTAGCTGTTCCGACGGTAGAATCATGCTGGTTAAGTTTCACATATGATCCTGGCTGTGAGCACTGGTCTTGTACCAAAGTTGGACTTATAGCTTTAGCTTAGAACCGTAAGAAAATATAGAAAACACTTGACCTCGCGTAAATACTTTCAAGCATATTTGCAAGTGAGGCCTTCGCCGAAATGAAGTCTTCAAGCCTTCCGATAAAGAGATGAGTGATTCTGAGCCCGTCAGGTCCGTAGAAATTGGTCCCGAGACCCACACTCTCATCGAGCTTGCCTCAGAGGCAAGCAGCTCCAGGAAAGGAAAGAAATTTGTTCAAGAAAAGACGACAGAACACGCAGAAGCGCTGCGAAAAAACCAGCTGTGGCCGCTTCGCAAGGCAAAGCTTCGACATCAGCACCAGATTTTCTTCCGGAGCTGCAATCAGTGATGTAGGCCTAGACACCGGGACCATACGACGTGTGCATATTCATCTATTTCTCCCTCCTTTGCAACAGTCGAGGCCGACTTGATGCAATCCAACATCTCCGTATCGAGTGCTAAGTACGCTCCGGAAACTCATCGGATGGCTTTTCCTCCATGACCAAGGGTTGGTGATGAGTAGGGCTCCGACCCTACCATCTGATCTGATCGTGGCTAGCTTCATGATAATGGTGATAGGGGAATGTGTTGGGAGATGAAGACGATACAGACGGCGAAAGCGATTTGGAATCCTCATCGAAGTGAGGACTTTGTTACGCAATCTCGGCATTGCAGACTCTACAGTGAGAGCGGGAGGTTCATGGGGGACACCGCTGGCAGGTGTCAAGAATAGTCCCCCAATTATCACGTGGAAGATGTGACAGCACGGGATCCGGACCTAATTAGAATTTCTTCTAAATTTTGATTTTAGTTTTGCTATTAACACCATCATTAAGGTGGAAGTTCATGCGGTTGGAATAAGTTGGGCCTGTATACCGTGATTCTTACCGGCTCCACTGGTCCTTTTCCGATAGTAGGATATAGAGGTTTTTACTCTAGCTCAGGACTTTAAAAATTTAACAACATCCCATAGAGAAATGATGACTCAAATCTTGGATCAAGCATTTGTGCCTCGGGTTTTATTTGCGAGTACCAGAGCGAAATTATGGTAGCTTCTTCTTCAACCCACGTCAGCACTGATCCGTATAAATCCATCCAGGGAAAATTATCAAAAACCCTGAGTTATCCAAATATGCCTCTATCATCCATTGATTTGTCTCCGCGCGAGATGTGGTCTGAGTTCTCTGCTTTCGAACCGGGCCAGGTGTCTAGGCTGTCCAGAATCCACTTTGGGGAATTGCCCAGATGGTGTACTACCGCACCACCCAACCATGGCGGTATCTATACTGTCGCCTTTACTTGTAGTGTATTTTCACAAAGGCTTCAAAGTATGCGACACATGTTAGGAGCTTCATGGTATATAATAGAACTAAATTAAAGTTCCCACAATGTATTTGTAAATGAAGGGCAGCTATAAGCTATTCAAAGGCTACTTGAAAATTACTTGTTTATCTATCACCTTTATTTTATACATTTCCTAATGGACACTGAAGGTCTTGCTCTAATATGGCTTCATGTCAGAAAGGGGAAAATTTAATTAAAATCAAAATTTCTTAATGCGACTTAAAAATATAGAGATATATAGCAGATCTTATAAGCAAGAGACCAGAGTAAGACAGATTCTTCGCTCGCCGAAGACAAGGGATTGCAGTGGTTAACCTATAATCGTTTGCGCACCATTCACGCAGACATTGTGTGGAATAGTAACAGTTTTCCTAAGCGATGATAAAGGTTTAACGTTCCTTTCATAGCAACTCACCTGCGATGGTGTAATGGCTGATGTCACATAATGCATAACTTGATGGTGCCTTTGGTTAACTTTAATAACCTAAATATCACTAATATTGAGGGAGAGTTAATAAGTCATCCCAGTAGGTAGAGAGAGCCAAATGGTTGAAGCAAAAATTAAATTACACCATTTCAGCATACCATGTTGATATGAAACGGTCATGGTATACTAGTCCAGCCAGAAAATGGGTTGAATTTTCTGTTGAATTTCAAACTGTTGCTTTGGAAGAACTGGTATTATGCCCTTGTGTGATCATATTTCTCAACTTCGCGTCCCCTGAGCAAATGGTAGCCCAATCGTCGATCGTGCTACGTGTGCACAAGAACGAACATCAAGTTAATTAGACCATATACACAGCTCGAAGTTATACTGAGCTGATATGAAGACAGATGTGCTTTTACGGCTTCATCTCTAAGCTGACTGCTTTGAAACCGTAGGCGCGGCATATACGCTACAGCGTTTCTCATTTATTTGAGTCATCAACTTCGAGACTCACTAACGCGTCGTCGAGAGTCTTGTTGGTTTAGGATGATAGACTTTCGTAAATTTCGTTGAAAATACCCTTGACTCTCTTTAATGTCTCAATCAATGGTTCAAGTCTGCTTCGCTCGTTTATTATCCACGCCTGCCGCGAAAAGTTCTTACGGTTATAGTCTCCTGCCGAGGGATAATCTCATTCCTAAGACTGTATCAGGGGTACAGTCATTGCGTTAAACGAGCAAGGGTTCTTGCCTCAGTTTCCTTCGTTGCATAGCTCTTCACAGTCATAGACTCAGTAGGGACTTCAATTTAATTATTCGTTGCATGGCCGCCGATCATGTACCGGTGGAAAGGATTGTTAAGTGTAGTATCTAAAAGGTATCTGAGTAGATAGGAAATTACTGGACCTTACACAAATTGCATTACATGTTGGCAAATTTGCGGCTCTCCGTCTGTAAATGGTTTCGGCAACGGCGTTGATGATATGGCGCTGCGTCTGAGCCCCTTCGAGAAAACGAGCCATTCGTAGCCTCAGGCATGAATGGCGCGACGGTCAGCTTTGTCACCTACTCGCTCCTGCTCTAAATGCCCATAATCGCCTGATAAGTGATTCTGCTAAGTCTAACAGATTTCTGGTTAACGACAGCACCAAGCCTTTGCTTAACTCTCCGATATTACCACATTAACCACAGTGACCATGACCGTCACTACGAATAAGCTGGAGGCTAACCATGGCCAGGACAGCTCACACTCTCTTTGCAGGGATTGAACGAATCAATCTTGTCGCCATTAAGCCTCCACAAGAATCAAAGGTCTGCCGCACACAGGGTACTGGGATATTGGACCGGAATGCCCCGCTTTACTTTATCCCTGAGTCGTTCATGGGCGACTGGAGCAGGGGGGCGTAGCAGGCTACGACTGTCAGACATTTCATCATCTGACTAGACCCAAGTTGCTCGTCTTGTCTGATCACGCCGAAGCCGACGGTCAGTAGTCTTTACCCAATCTCCAAAACTTCCAGTTAGACATAAGGTCGAAGTAGATGGCACAATGATAGTGCCATGGTAGATAAATTACTGTGACACTTAGCTGGTCTTTGGATAGGAAAAAATACGAGAACAAGGCGGATCATGCAGCAGAGATATTCTTTGCTTAGGCTCGAACGCCGTTAAAAAAGTTAAAGGACCAGCAAAGGGGGTACCAGTCCGGTCGTAGCAGGTAACATTGGTCCCTCCACACCATAGAGTATAGGCGAGCTATCTGACACCTATCTATCATCATTCCACTCACAATCTCCCATTACATAGAGAATCACATATAGTAAATTTATAATTTCAAGATTTGCTGATTAATTCGAGTTACAGCCAACCAGAGCTTTGAATCCCTCCTCGTTGAAATGACATGATACGGTATTAAGTTGTCATCCTGGGTGAGGGGGGATGCGCGGCTGGCTATCCCATATACCCCATAAATAGATTAACCTAGACTGAATCAAGAAATTACTGCACGTGAATCGCTGGCTGCCTTAGTATCTATCCTTCCCCCACCAGTGCCTTAGAGACGACCCCAAGAATCTCGCGAACCTCCTTTGTAATCGACAAATTACGGCCGAGTAACACCTCTTTCACTCTACTCTTCGACTAGCCCATCCACTATTGCCAGCATAATCTGCCTCAATCGTGTCGATCCATTTCAATAATCTAGCAATACATACAAATTGAAGTTCCCATTAAACAGTACAAAATCAACGACTATCGCTCGCAGACTCATATCGCAGCCAGCTTCGCCTCTTCTGTAATAATCAGCGATAGCGCAATAAGACATCTCTCTGCTCACCATTTAACTTCGAGTCGCTCTGCGATTGCTTTAACTAACCACCAGGCGCTGGGTGGCCCACCCCCAATAAGCTAGGTGGCAAACGCTCTCCTGGATCCTTCAATTATTGCAATTCTCTCCACCGCCTCGCACATTTAATCTACAGCATGTGGTCTCCGAAAGCTGTGACGTCTCTTTTTGCTCTCTCGCTTTTTCTACCTCTCCACGCCCATTCCGTTTCGGAAAGATTGATTGAATCCAAATCGCTCAACACTTGTCAAGACAATTCAAGCTTCACCGCTAGTCTATTCAACGTTATTTTTACACCAAACAACAAGACTATCACATTTGATGTTGTCGGAGTCTCATCCATACAAGGCAATGTATCGTTTGTTATCGAGGTCAAAGCCTACGGATATACTGTGGTAAAACGTATTCTAGATCCATGTGATATGGGATTACCCGGAATGTGTCCTATGAGTACTGGGCAAATCGATATCCTCTCAAACATACAGCTGGAAGACTCGACCATAAACCAAATTCCTGGGATTGCATACGGCGTACCTGATCTTGACGCCAACGTCAAGATTGTCATCAATGCGACTGCCAACCCAGATGTCAGTCTGGCCTGCGTAGAAGCTAACCTATCCAATGGACAAACAGTTGATCAAAAGGGTGTTAGCTGGGCAACCGCTATTATTGCTGGGCTAGCTCTCATGGCTTCAGCCGCAACCTCAGGACTTGGGCACTCGAATACCGCAGCGCACGTGGCTGCGAATGCACTGTCTCTATTTGCATACTTTCAAGCCCAGGCCATGATAGGACTAACTGCAGTCTCTCTACCGCCGATTGTACAGTCATGGACTCAGAACTTCCAGTGGACCATGGGGATTATTCATGTAGATTTTATGCAAAGAATTGCTACGTGGTATCAAAAATCTACCGGTGGAACGCCTGCTACCTTACTTAACAGTCTTACCACAACATCGGTTCAAGTCGAAAAGAGGTCGCTACCAACGATAGGCAAGCGCGCAATCGATCACACAATAAAACTTCTCGCTCGCGCTCACGAACTTAGTAAGAGATCAGACGACTCCGTCTCTGGTAGCTATATTGTCAGGGGAATGAAAAGGGTCGCATTTAGAGCTGGTATTGAATCGACCAACCTATTTCTCACCGGCTTGAGTTTTTTTTGTATTTTCATCTTCTTCACCGTTATATTTGTCGTTTTGTTTAAAGGCTTTTGTGAGCTGGCGATTAAGATGAGGTGGATGAAGAGTGACAAGTTTCAAGATTTCCGTAACGGCTGGCTTGTTGTACTAAAGGGTATCATGTTTAGAATGGTTCTCATTGGGTATCCTCAGATGACAATACTTTGTTTGTGGGAATTCACACAAGTCGACTCACCAGCCGAGGTAACTCTCGCAATCTTCTTTCTATTCGGTATGACCGGCACACTCGCTTGGGCTGCTATGAAGGTGATTCGAATTGCAAAACGATCTGTAGAGATGCACAAAAACCCCGCTTATATACTTTACTCAGATCCAGCAGCACTCAACAAATGGGGTTTCCTCTATGTTCAGTTCAGAGCGACAGCATACTACTTTATACTTCCCACCCTTGGATATATTGTTATCAAAGGAATGTTCATTGCATTCGGTCAAAACTCAGCCACCGTTCAGGCCGTTGGATTGCTGCTGATTGAGGCCATCACTTTGATAGCAGCAAGTGTTATCCGACCATGGATGGATAAGAGCATTAATAGTTTTAATGTTGCTATCGCCGCAGTAAACTTTTTGAATACGATCTTCTTATTGATCTTCACTGATATTTTCAACCAGCCCGGTATAGTGACTGGAGTCATGGGGGTTATTTTCTTCATTTATAATGCTGCGTTTTCTCTCGTCCTACTGATCTTAGTTCTGATTGCAACTGTGTACGCGTTTTCTCGCAAGAATCCAGATAGTCGATACCAGCCAATGAGTGACGACCGAGCATCTTTCGTTAAGTCACAAACTCAGTTGACGACGGAATTGGATGCCCTTGGAGTGACAGCCCGAGGTGACAAGAATGGGTATAAACATAATCTTGATCTAGATGATGATGAGACTTGGTCAACAGATTCAACGCGAAACCCAGCTAACCAACCCCTTCCCTCATCAACAATCAGCTCCAATAGTACTTACCGTGAGACCCAACAAGTGCAAGCTGATTCGACTGCATCCATGGCTTCCAATCAGGCGCAGTTTCCTCAATATCAGGACAATAATCGCCAATATGCCAATTCTGGAGCGAATACACCCTCATCTGCACCATATCCAGAAAGCTATTCCGAGAAACCGTCACCAGGCCTCCAACCACTACCAACCTCCAGTCCTGCTTTGAATAGGAGGCCAACGCAAAACGCCAGGTAAGCTAAACATATCCCACTCCATGAAACCCTCGAGTACTGATAATCTATAGCACATGGCAGGTAGGTGCAGGGTATGATCGGTGAGGAGTTCAGCCAGACCGTCTTCGGTGTCCAAGATAATTTTCTGAAAAGAATGCTCTATTCCTATTTTAATACAGAGCTTCTACATAATATTTACAAAACAGCAGCTAGCTGTGCAAGGAGCGTACTGACCCGCTATTTCAGGTGGGTAGGTTCAAAGACTGTGCCGATCAGGTTCAGTAAATCCATTGTATGAATCTTGTATTTATCTTATCGGGGGAGTCCGGATCGAGCCTACATTTCTCAGAGGCTACTGAAAGAGCCGGTGGCAGGTAATTCCTTTTTTTGGGTCTTGAAAAGGGTATTTTGCGATACGAGGGACTATTTTTCAACATGAAAGCGGTGCATTATTAAGCGAAAGGATTGGTCCTCTGCATAATAGATCCATATTTTCAGACACTCTACTACGTGCAAAGAAGAAGAGATACGTCTAAATCCATTATGAAATTTATGTATATTAGTTATCGGTTTTATATTATGTTTCTTAGATTGCGCGCGCGTACTGAATGACTCTTTCTGTTAATCGAAAGCCAAAAGCCGTGTGAGCGGTAATAAAGTTGAAAGCTCATGCAAAATTAATAAAATCTTTTAAGTCTTAACACGGCAACACTTTCCACTACTCGGGTATCTTTCAGGAAAGCTCGCGAAGCTCTGCTCAACTTCACAATCTCATAGCTTAAGCATCTTTAAAGAGTGGACAACCGAAATGACCGCCTTTTCCAAACTCCTGATGTGCTCGTTATGTTGCATTGTATACGCTTTTGATGATAATAGAAGAGACTCAAACTTTTAGAAGCTAACTAATAGCCAGCAGGTCCTTGAGCGACTGCACGAAGCAGGGGCAGAGTGAATAGAATAGAGTTCAGTTTAAGGCCCTACTGAGTCTATGACTATGAAGGACTGCTAAAGATATCTAAATAACTTTAAATTTTAATAGTCTTTTAACAATTGATTTGCTTGATATTTAGCAACAGATACTGAGGGTCTTGCCCTATGGGGCAGAGTGATAATGTTAGCTAGATGACTAGATGTGAGGGAGATTGGCGCTCTGGGCCACGAATTATTCAGTAGGGCTGGTTGGAAGGGATACGCTCTTCGGGTGTTTTGAAATATGAATCCGCCTTCCGCCATGATATCAGTACAAGATTGGATCACGCAGACACAAGTCTCCATGATACCGTCGATGGACGAATGAATTTGTATACAATTCATTTCATACCGCAGCGTGACCAGCTTATGAGATTCTTCATCGGCGCTGACTTGAAGTTTGTTAGCGCGATAAGGCGCCAGGCTGGTAGCAGCCTCCACGCCCGAATGAGTGCTCAAGCACTAGTTAAGTCGATTAAGTACTAGAAGTTACTTCAACATCGTCCGCTCTCACATTTTTGATACGCTAAACTAAGCTGAGCGCAAATCCTCCTCCGACTTGGCTCCAAATGTAGGTGGGCCTTAGTAATGGGTCTGCCTTTTGACACTGGCCAGGCTCCAATTAAGTGTTTCTGTAGGGCTATTGTTAAGATACTAAGTTTGTGGTGCTCACAGTGATCAATTATCTCCCGAGGAAAAAAGATTCTGTGGCATCGCTTGATTGCCGTGACCGTGACCCTTGGATAGCTAGCTCTCCCTTCACACCCTGAGCGCTGCCACGACCATGGCACTTAAGCATCACGCATAGATCCTGAACATCGTTCATACCAGGGGATAAAAAAGCCAACACTTGTCATCGGTGTCCCCTAAAAACTTCCAGCTCTCATTAAAGAGTCTACAGAGCCGAGACTTAACGACAGTTCTCTACTTCAATGGGAATTCCTAAACGCTCCTGCGGCTTGTATCGTCTTCATCCCTAAGCACAACCCCAGCACCATCATCTCGGGGCTAGTCACCATTAGATCAGATGGTAGGGTCGAGGCCCTACTTATCACCCACTGTCGGTCATGGGGGGAGCCATGCGATGAGTTTCCGGAGCGTACCCAGCACCCGATACAGCGATGGTAGACTGGATCAAGCTGGCCTCTGATGTTACAAAGAAGGGAGACGATGATGGATCTTCGCACCTCGTGTGGCTCCGGATTTTAGGTACCGCCTAACCGGGGCTGCAGATTTTTTGAGACCTTTTCCCGCGCACATGGTTTCCATTGCCACCCTTTATTTTTCAGGCAAAATGATGCCTGGAAAAGGTGGGTGAATTACACGGTTAAATACTGAGCTAAATGGCTATCCATCCTGGGCATATATCAGAGATATTTCTTCACGACAAAAGAGGACAGGAGCGCAATGTGCTAGATAGTCTCAGGGCCGGGTAGCAAATAAAACTCGACTCTTATCGTTCATCCCGGAAAACCTCCGAGTCAGCGGCTATCCGAAGTTGCGGATATCCGCGTCATCAAAGTTTCCTCTGAGCGAGATAACTCTATGCACAACACCCGGCAAAATTGAAGAAAGGAATACGTAGCCTCAGGGCTGATGACTAGATGGCGGAGCGGAAATTTAAATTTAATCTCTCTGGCCTCGCTTACGCCGACTACCATCGACGTTTCAACTCCGAAAATTAAGATCTGAAATGCGTTTGCGGCCGAGAGAAAGGGCCCTGGCATTTTTCAGAGTGCCGACCTGCTTTGCTACGATGGAGAATCTATGAGAAAATGGCCCCACCTGGGGCCAGGGAAATGATAGGAGAGAAGGGATGGCAGAAGTTCATTCAATTCTTAACTACAAGCAGATGTTACAGTCTGCCGAAGAATGAACAGGGTAGGAGCTGACCACCCTGAGATTGTTTCTGACCCGAGAGTAGATGGGTGTGGAAGATGGGGATGCGGCGCAGGGCACCGTAACTCAGACATATACTGTTCTTTTTTTTTCTTTTTCTTTTGTCGCTTCTGGCTCCACTGCCGGTCATGTTGGTAGCAATGAGCTTTTAGAGCCCATCTACCCGTGTCACGTCTAAATAGATGTTAGCTTCTTCCTGTCACGTAAAAGATTTCAAATTCAAATTCAAATCCCTGGCCTCGCTTTCTAATTTGGGTCTTACCGAGGTATTGCAGTGTGCATGCGGTGGATTTTCTGCGCGTAAATTGACGGACGATATTGATGCGGCGATAGGGATATCTATGTTGGTGCAAGCATCTTTATCCGCTCCTCTTCCACTCCCAGGGACCTAGCATTGTGTATCCGAATACCTCTCATTCTCCTCGGCCGTGCCAATCATGTAAGACGGTGTCTCATTATCTGATACTCTAAAGATGTGTGGCGGCTTTTAAATATGTTTATCTTTACTAAGTTGCCTCAACCGGCCGGCCCTTTTGAAATCTCGTCGTTGCATAGTCGAAATTTGTGTCCTGAGGCATCACTTTAACAGTGATTATATTCGGTAGAGACATTTCTCTACATCCTGGCATGAGCCACAATGTTATGTTACTCTTACGGTTGTGCGCAATGATACATTTGACGTGCAAGTGTTGAATACTTCTGCCCTAGAGTCTAGCCATGCCTATGTGGTGTCGTCCTTGGCCCAGAAATCGCTGGCTGTATCTAGGCTGACTCGAGTATACGAGCTTTTTCTCGCCAGCGCCAAGTGGATTCTTTGGTCAAGGTCCCGAAACTTTGCATTGAAGACTCTTTTCTTTGTGCCCTGTCCCATCTCGCGAGTCCATCATTGTTCATATTTTGTCTGCTACGCAACGACAGAAATCAATTCTACTTTGACACATAACTTAGTCGCTACCGCAACTTCTTCTATACCGAGAAAACCGCGTGAGCTTAGTAAGCGCACGGGGCATCTGATCTGCTGACTCGATGACTGCGGATAATCGACGTTTACTTTTGCATCAGATTTTAATTGCGGATGCAGCTATCTAGCTATGAAACGATATCAAAGAAAAGTACAGAATAGATGATTCAACGTTAAGGCAGAGCACTCATGCCTCAGATTTCATTTGCAAGTACCAGTGCGAAGTTATGGCCGCTCTTTCTTCACCCCAAGTCAAGCCCCAGCATGATCGACGATGTTGCCCACGATCAGCGAGTGCGCAAATCGCCATCCTCGTATTCCGACCACCTAATCCTGAGTCCCATGTAAGTCGCTCTTTGTTTCCTGAACTCATGAGACCTTATTTTCCCTCACAGGGCCGTTTCACTGTTGTCTACTGTTGTGGAGCAGTATCATGGACTAGGGTTGATACTAGTGTGTGAATAAAGATTCTTATCAACGGCTCTTACAAGATAAATTATAGTGTCTATTTGAATATGATTCCTTTTAACGGGTAATTCAGTAGCACTGGAAGTAGAATTGATAGAATATAGGGTTAACTGTGTTAACATTTCTATCTTGATGTCGACCCGTACAAACATACCGTATATTAGTAACTCATATTAATACTCAGGATTGCGATGGATAGCAGAGATTAGTGGTGTTTTTGACAGTGCGGTGGCTGGTAATTGTTGACAGGAATGGGACATGTGTATATATACATCGCGCACTTGACTACTCTTTGATATGATGATTCTTCCGACTACATTCACAATGCTCATACCTACTCTGGGCTAATGACCCCTTACTATGTCGGTTCTATCTTCTAATTAATACCTTTTCATCCATTTATCTTAAATGATAGGTCATAATATTCTTCGTCTTGCTGGCCATCATCAAGCTCAGAGTTATGGATAGATCAAATCTCTGACAAACAGAACGTGTATATTACACTGCATGCGCAGCATTCTTGAATGCTGCGACTATGCTGCAACTAATCTGTGTCTTCCAGGCTCGCCTACACGCTGATATAAAATTACTAGGCGAGCGCAGGCGACACTATAAACACGGCCATGGTGTTGTGCTGGCTCGGTTGAGTTGTTAGGAGACAGGGGAACGGAGGATGGGCTGCTGGATTAGGAAAGGGTGGAAAATACAGGCTGGTGCACAGACGCTGTTCATGTACTCTACAATCTCTTCACCTGCCGAGTTTAGTGGATCAGTCTATTCATATAATATCATACTTCACATCATCCAT